GCATGCAGCAGACTCGTCATGCACTTACCTGTGCACTGCCACCCACGCCATTGCTTGCCACCCTTGCCCACACCCTTGCCCACACCCTCACTCTCGCTGTCCACTCTTGCCCTCACCTCCCTTACCTGCCACTCTCACCTTGCCTGCTGTCGTCCTGCAACCAGCATTCTGCGCACACAGGTGAGAAACATCTGCACTGTGCGGTCAGCACACTTTGTGCCAAGTCGCTGGTGCTGGCACATCATGCACAAGCATGCGGTGTTTCTGGTCTGTGTGACACAACTGAGCCCAGTGTTATCACACGTTGGACTGTTATTGACCAAGACACTAGCTGCAAAAGGTAAGCTTGCACTTACTGTTGCAATAAGACACCCTTGATGCAGCCCGCATCCAACCCAGCCCACAGCATAGCCACATGCTTGATGCTCCTGCACACAAGCCCTCGCCACCATCGCTCGCCACCCTTGTTGATACCCTCGCTCTTGCCCCACGCCCTTGCCCTACATCCTTGCCCTCACCTGATCCCACACCTGCTGCAGTGGCCCACCATCTTTGCCCTCACCATATTTTCCTTCCTCTCATAAGTGATCGCAGCTTATTCAGCTGCCGCGCATGGAGAGCCTGCAAATGGGGAAGTGTGGGAGCCTCTCGCCCTCGCTTTCAATGCAGTCTGCACTCAACAAGGAGAAGGAGAAGGAGTGCAGCTGACCGGTGTCAAGTGAGAAAGTGGTTTCTCCTCTGGTTCACCGGGTAAGGCTACAATATACCAGGCTATCACAGTTGTTCTTAGTTGAAGGAAGATATGTTTGTTTCAAAAGGTCAAATTTCTTAACCCCTTTCTATTCCTGAATGGCTTACAGATGATGGGTATGAACTAATATAACATGCTCGAGGTGTTACTACTAGGTCTCGCTGAATCGGCTTATATTGTGCAGCTTTAGGTGGCCAGTACCTAACAACTGACACTGACTGGGATTGACTTTAGGTGTTCGGTACCTAACAGTCAATATTTCTCTTATATGGTGGCTTGTACAATGCTGAAATGACTACTAGACGGCTTCCAGATGATTTACTTGATAGACAATGTTGAACAGTACTTAGACAGTGAGCAAGAGTGGTTTGACAGTGATAAAGGCCCTATAGACAGTGCTGAGCTTCCCCTTTTGTCTTCAAGAGATGCTTACTAGCTTTCAGTTCACTCAGTTAGTTTAGAGGGTAAGGTCTACCTACTTGATTGCTCAAGAGATCTTGCTTGCCCAGCTCAGCAGAGAGGGCAGCCTTATATATGTACAGGATAGAGGATTACTCAGTGGATTATCAAGATGGGGTTATAAGATAAATCATCCAATTACAAAATATCACTCAAATGCTTCCACTTTCCCATAACCAATCATCAATTCACTTCAGATGGCCTTGTTTGCTTTGTAAGCTTGTGGGAATTGTATCACCAGGATAGGCAAGTGTTTCTACATAAGGCAGTTTCCCACGGTCACACTCCTTCCTATTTAGGAGATGGATCATGTGCCTGTTTCTTCTGAGCTGTCTTTTGCTATCATCTGGCCTTCTGTTTCTTTAATTCACTCCTCGTTCCTTCTTATTACCCAATCCTTCCTCATAGCCTCTATCTCTGTGGCTGCCAGCAATATTTATACCAATTCCAGTGGGCTAGGACACTCTATTGCTGATCAAGTGATGCCGTCATCAATTGATATGGTTTGGTGCCTATCTTCTCTTTATTTCTTTTTATTTGTCACTGATTTTGTGGAGGATCAGTGTGGACAATAACTATGTCAACCTAGTCCAGAACGATGGGCAACTAGATATGGTGATGGGGTTTTCCAGTCATCTGGGTATTTGGGAGCATGAGCAGAAGTGTCTCGATGCATGGCTGGCACGTATTTACCAGCAGTTTGATGAGGTGGAAGCTCAGTGGTTTTAGGCCCTACAGTTTTCAGGCTGGTATGTGGATGTTTCCAATTAGCATTCCTATTTGTCCTCATTAACTGTATAGTGCATGGTTGAAGAAATGGTATATTAGATGTCTGCATAATAGTTCGCATATATGACTGTTTTTTATTTATGTATCTGTGCCAAACCACTTTGGCAC